TCCATCACAGGAGTTGATATTATCTGTATAACACCTACTGCCTCAGGAGTCCGGCAACGTTGATCCAAATCGTCAAGGCTCCTGCTCAGGCTGCTCCGGGTGAGGACCTGGATTTTGTCATCAAAGGGCTCCATCAACCTCAATACTTTCAACACTTCGTCCTTTGACAGATGGTCAAAATGGATTGTAGCCCCAAGGATTTCATCTCCTGAGAATGACAAATCAAGTTTTTACATAACACCACAGTATACAAACTGGTATTTAAGGACTTTGACAGTTTTAAAGAGAAGAGATCTTTGATGGAAGGTCAGATCTTATACCTTCCTTCAAGTCCTGTTTGTGTGATGCACTGCTGATGCTGGAAATGACCACCCCCCCCTCTTCTGACTGCTCCAGGGTCAAGGCCTCAGACAGGCTCCTCCCCCTGCGGTGTGTTGGCTGCAAACATGTTAGAAACTGTGTTCAACAGAGGCGTTCGTCCACGAGACACTGATAAAAAAAGATCTGAAACCAAAATGTAAGAATCGAGGTGTGTTGATGCTTCTCACCATGATTTCTGTTGATAATTCGTGTATTTCTCACCAACCCTGAAGATAATAGGAAATTAATCATTAAACGGAATCTGATATTAAGGGAAAAAAGTCAAATGGAGGTTTAAGAAAAGTTGGGGATACAAGTAGGCCGTAGAGAGAAAGCACCTGTAATTAGTTATATCGAAAACGGGAGATCAAGATGCTGTTCACTAAAATGTAGTTTCATAGCTGGAAAAGAAAAATTAAAGCGCAATTTAGAATGAACATGAGTTCAGATGCTTTTAGGGACTAGATAAAGGATCAAGGAAGTTTCTGTTTCAGTCTATCACGCTAACACCCCTAGCGTGGACCACAGTCCGGCATTTAAACAGGTCAAAAATGAAGTCAAACATGTTTAAATTCGTACAACACAGAAGCTTTTTGTTTCCCACATGCCGGAAAAATCTGTCTGCTAAACGGCAAAACACTTTGCATCATATAAAAGCAAAAACAGAGTGGAACATCTTCGGGAAGAGTGAGTATTCTGTAACCGCGTGAACCTGGAAGAGTGACAGGAATGTGAGCTATTGCCCTGGGCTGAGCTAGCATGTTTTGAGAAGGAAACAGGTTTATCGAGAGTGCTGGGAACAAGTGTTCTGCTTTGTGGTGTTTCCAATATTGTAAGCTGACCACACCCACTGCTTTCTAATACAGGAATCCTGGCAGTGGACCTCCGGCGTTCACGTCATGTCCCGAAATATGACATGAAACGGTAATTCTGAGCGGAACGCCTAACCTGTCAATGATCCCACACAAAACAACATGACTCAAAGTCTTTCATGACTAAACAATTCCATCTAACGTGTATGAATCTGATACATGAATGGGCTTTCATTGCTGCTATCATTCATCATTTAAGAGTGCTTTCTCACAAATACACAGATAAAGATAATTCTTAATTATTCATTGTAATGCAAGTATAATGTGAGCATATAATTTGGAATATGTGATATTGAGCAACAGCATAGTTTGTCAATTTCTATAAACTAATCATATCTATATAATTATAAATGAAAATATCCTAATTTTGTAATAATAGGTAATTTGATTAACAAAGAAAAGCAGAATAATAGTGAATAATAGTCAATTACCACCAGTTTCATTTGTAAAAGTGAACATGTTAAGTTACAAAAACTTAAAATGCAGAAACAGTAAAGCGGATAACCATGAAACTATATTTTGTAATAATAGGTCATTTAATGAACGACGAAAGGCAGAATAATAGTGAATAATAGACAATCACCACCAGTTTCATTTGTAAAAGTGAAAATGTTCAGTCACAAAAAGTCAAAATGCAGAAACAGTAAAGCGGACAACCATGAAACTGTATTAGGCCTTTTGTATAAACACAAATTCTCAATAAGAGACACGTCTAGTGACCAGTAGGAAGACACTAGATGCCAACAGAATGCTCAGAATGTTTTTAAAAAACATCTTTTGAAAGCTGCCGTGCATATTTTAGCTCACAGATGCTGGTTCGACAGAAACTACTTTCACAGAACCTGAACTTCTGCACTTTACAGGAACCAACGGGAATGAAAGTGACCACACTGACCTGGAGGTGCATCGGGCAGCCGTCGGGGGCGTGTGCAGTCGGTGACCCGCGCGTGTGTGTATTTGTGTGTGTGTGCAGTCCGTGCTGAGAGAGCGCCGGCTCGCTACTGAGGACGGGAGCGCCGGTCTGGGAGGAAAACTTACCCTGAAGCAGACAAACAGGTTCCACTAAAAAAGAAAAAAAAACTGTCCTGCCACCATTATAGATATCAACAGGTACAAACAGTCCCCTCACACACCCTCGCGCAAACACACCCTGACTACCACACACCCAGGTCTGGTGTGTACAAAAATAAAAACACACTTAGTGGACAATGAAAGTCCAGTTTCTGACATGCCGATTATCTGACAGCGGCCGTATTTTCCCACACACACACACAGATACAAAACACATCTGGCTGTAGTTTATCTCTTGCTGGTGAAAACCGGAACGGCGCAAACACACACAAAAAAATAGAAAAGAACACTCGCCCTGACAACACGAGCGTGTCAACAACGTGAGAAAATATGCTGACCCGGACCAAAGGAGCGGCCGGTATTCACCCGGTGACTCACTCCGTCTACAGTCACTGTTTAGATACAAAAGAAGCTGTCGGAGAAAAAGACTTACCCAACAGACGTTCCTTAATCCTACCGGGACAGATCCAGCCGGCAGATGAGCTCAACAACGAGTGTTATCAAGCGGAGATAAAAAAAAATAAAAAAAACTGGATTCACAACTGCCACAACAAATCAGTGGCTTTGTTAATCATCATCCAGTTTAACCGCCAATAAAGCAGCATGGTGGATATAAAGATGTCTGATCACGCTTCCCTGTCAAAGCTCATACTGACAACTTTCATTACACGTATGACATGTAAATAAGTATAAATGTACATAACAACTACTCTGGAAATATGAGAAAAGACACACACCTGTAGGCTGACTTCCTCCTTCATCATGTGGGACAGATCCGGTCTGTACAAGACGAGTCCGTGTAGGAGACGTGGAAAAGTGGGAACAATTTATTCCAAATCGCAGTGAATGGCACTGTTATTCATTCAGCAGCCTGCGTGTTTTTATTGAAAAAAAACTCTAAAACCAACGTTGCCATATTCCAGTTTTCAGAGGCCGTTGCTCTGCAAAAAAGTGGCCACTGCCCTATTCCATTCTTCTCCTTTCACCTGGTCAGGTGAGTTTAAGGAGGGAAACCTAGACAGCAGCATGTTTTGGGGGGATTCTGTTTGGATTCTTTTGGTCTGCTTGTGTAACTAGCTTTGTCTTAGGCTCAAATACTCTTGTTTACTTCTGCTTAAACTATCTAAAGTAAATAGAGGAACCAATGCAAACTATGCACAACAGAAGATTACCATCACTGACAATCCACAGGAGACTTTATTTTACAGAAATGGTCAAATGTCTTCTAAAAAATTGAGATTCTGCAAACAGAAGCAGATTTGTAACAAAAGGAGAGTCTGTGGCCGGCCCTGAATGATGTGAATAGAATGTTATTCAGTCGGTATAACAGGTTCCTTGTCTGACTGCTTGCAGCTAAACAGACGATCAGGTGATTTTTGGCCTAATGTATTTTTTTGTTTCACCACTGGCCCTAAATCAGAGCCTGAATGCAACATGACAGAAAATATAATGATAAAAAAATAGTGAAAAACAAAGCTAAAAGGGGCATTTCTGTTTGTAGAGTTAGTCTAACTATGTAATTCGACCGATTGAGCACCAAAGCAAAGTTCTATCTTCCCCCATTTATCTGTTGGCATCCTGAAAAAGCAAAGGAAAACGTTTTAACCCGTTTTATTTTCAGGTGCGCAAGCAGTTTGAAAGAACTGCCGACAGTTTCTCCCATGGAGACATAAAGGATACAAACATTTAAAGGGAAATTTTTTTTTAAAATGGCTGTGATCCTGTGCGAGTCGCTGGTCCATGTGAGCCTTCAGTCCGGGCCCAGTGTAGTGCTTTGCTGTGGAATGGAAACCTTTTTACGATGAGGAATCAGTCTCCTGGCTCTCTGATCAGCCTCTGGAAGGCCGAGTTGTCCGTCTGGCAGAGAGCGGCGGGGGTGTCGAACTCCACCACCTTCCCCGCGTTCATCACCAGGACCCGGTCGCTGTCCATGATGGTGTTGACCCTGGGGAATGAGGCTCGTCTGGTTTTTTCTGCGTGCGGTCTTCCCCAAACCGGGAAAAAAAAAAAGAGGTCTTACCTGTGGGCGATGGTCAGAACGGTCTTGTCCTGGAACCTTCGTCTGATGGTCTGCTGCAGCAGGGCGTCCGTCTTCTGGTCCACGCTGGCTGTGGCCTCGTCAATGCAAAGCACCTGCAGGGCGGGGGGAAAAAAAAAAAACAGGCTTTCCTGGTTGGGACACGTGGATTTGGCAGATAAAAACAGCTGTGTAGGAATTTACTATATTGAAACCGTGAGAAAATTTGACTTGTTAACTTGGTAACTAATTTCGTCGTAGACAGCGTTTCATACAGGCTTCGTTCTGGGCTTTTTCTAGCAGGTTCTTTAAGTTTTAGGCACTCTTTTAGTTTCAGTTAAGGCAATTAACACAGCAGGCATGCACAGAGCACAATGAGACATCCTAATTTCTCATATAGATACCTTAATCTTCTTATCATACTTCATTTTCTCTTAACTACTGAACCGAGTCTCTGTCTCTTCCTCAAATGAGTGAGTTTTAGTGTCTCTGGATCCTGCTAGTGAGTGACCGAAGGTTGAACTTGGAGAATGAGAGGCAAATAGGGCTGGTGAGCGGAGCTGGTTTCAGGTTAGTGCCCGGTTTTTCTTCCAACCCTCACCTTTCGCGGTCAAAAAAATGAGTCCACAAAATCATTAAAAGGAGCTGAAAGAAGTTTACTTCAGTGTGGAGGGGGTTAGTCACTGAGAGGAGGATGCTCCTGGTTCTCAGAAGCCGTTCTACCCTGGGGAAGGTGTCTCCTAGAGCACATTTTTCTCAGGATGACGCACGCAAAGATTCAAAGCCTGAGAACATTAACGACGCCCATTTGGGGTTATGGCCTCGGGGCCGATTAGCCACGAAGGCAAACCATGAGAACCGTGAGAGGGAAACAGATCCTGAAAGCATCGGGCCGTTTCGTCTCCGGCTTTGTTTGCGAGCGCAGTGGTTTGTGAGAGAGAGGGCTCTGACCCACCTTGGCCTCGGTCAGCAGAGCTCTGGCCAGACACAGCAGCTGTCTCTGTCCTGCAGAGAAGCACTTCCCCCTTTCTCCCACCTCAGCGTCCAGGCCGCCTGGAATCACAAAGAACACCAGAGTTTGTCAACCATTCCTTCTACATCAGCACAAAGAGCTCATTAGAGAAATACTTTAGCCCGATACAAACATTAGAGGAAGTGAACAGAAGAGGGAAGAATAAAACTAAGGATGCTTAATCGTGGAAGCATGTTGTTGAGCCTTCAGATCCCTGAATAAAAACGGGCCAATTCAATTAAATTCAATTTTATTTATATAGCGCCACATCACAACAACAGTTGTCTCACAGCGCTTTCCAAACAGAGCAGGTCAGAGCCTACTCTGAAGTTAATTACAGAAACCCAACAATTCCCACCATGAGCAAGCACTAGGCGACACAGGCAAGGAAAAACTTCCTTTTAACAGGCAGAATAAACTGGGCCACAATAAGATAAATCAGTTTATCCTCAACAGTTTAGAAAGGACCACGCCCTCTGGCCTTAAAGCCTCATTCTGTGGCTGCTGAATCAGGAACCCACCCATCCTGCTGACCACCGTGCTCAGGTGGCACTGGACCAGGACGTCCAGGAGCTGCTGGTCCAGGTGCTGACCGCAGGGGTCCAGATTCCTCCTGACGGTTCCGCTGAACAGGAACGGGTCCTGAGGAATTATGGCCAACCTTGACCTGCAGAGAAAAGAAACGGCTATCCTAAAAACCTCTGAAACGCATTTATCTTCCTAGCCAATTAGCCGTTCCTCCCCCCTGAGGTCTCAAAATGAAACCGGCTTACCTGAGCTGAGCCAGCCCCACGGTGCTGATGTCTAACTGGTCCAGGAGAATCCTCCCCTCACTGAGTTCCACCATACGAAACAGGGCCAGGAACATGGTGGATTTGCCCGAGCCTGTGCGTCCCAATATACCGATCTTCTCCCCCGGTCGCACCGTCAGAGTCACTCCGTCCAGAGCGTTGGGAAGACCCTCTCTGTAGGCCACGACCACGTCCCGGAACTCCACACAGCCCTGCCTGGGCCAGGCAGGGGGAAGCTGGTGTCAGAGGAGAGAGGTTCAGATGCAAACGGTGAAGCAACAACACGGACCAGAGGTGGATTGTTGAGGGAAACTATTATAATAACCAAACACTGTTTATTAACTCATTGGCTTCCAAAGACGTCTATAGACGTCAATTCAAATACAACCGTTGACTGCCAAAGACGTCTATAGACGTCTTTTATGTTTTTCAACGCGAGTGGCTTGGGGGGACGATCTGCTAAAGCTTGTCCGTAAATATCAGGCTTCTAGACAGAGTATGTAGTAACAAATTGACCCTCTAGGTGGCAGTGCCAATTTTGATGGGAGATGAGCATAGACTGTAGGCAAATAAGAAAAACGTAATGGTTCGCTATGAGAGAAATGGCGCCGGTGAGACGCAAGTCGAGGAAGAACGGAATAAGGTAAAAACAAAAAAAATTTCCTGGTGAAAGAAGAGAGTCTACTCTTTCTTTTGATGTGTTCGGTGTTTACATAGTCATAGCACAAACTATTCTGTGGCTCTTGAAAAATCAGTCAAAATGCTCAAAAAACTCTGGCAGTATGGGACTCTCTGTTTTGAAAATGGCTGGCAGTCAGTGAGTTAAACAGAGAAATTTTGTTGGAACTTTGTAATAACATGCCTGAAAGTAAAAGCAGACAGTAAACTCAGTTTTCTGGAAGAGGGAAACAGGGTTTCCTTAAGAATTTGTCGATTTTTAAGTGATATCTCGCATTTCTTCGAAAGCATGATACTGTCACCACCGTGCCTTACCATGGGAGCAATGTTGTTGAGGCGATGAGTGCTACACACAGCATGTTCCGTGACCCCCTGCATTTTTCTAGTCTTATCTGACCTGAGTAATTCTTTCAACGTGTGTCAGAGGCAGCGTTCTTTCTGACCTGAGCGTTCTGATGCTGGGGCTCCACTGGCAGGCCGGTGGAGTACTCCTCTGTCCGCTCCACGCTGACCAGCTGCATTTCCGTTTGCGTGAAGCTGAATATGAGGCCGGACAGCAGCGATGTGATGGACAGCGCGTAGGACAAGGACAGGCCGACCAGACCTGGGCGGACGCGGACACAAAACACAGCAGCTTTTTTAACGGCCGGCGCTCTTTGTGGAGCGCGCTCGCCGCTTTGCGGCCGGCGGCTCACCGGGATCAACGGCGGCGTACTGGCGCTGGAGGACGGCGATCGCCCCGAGGCCCGTCACCACGGCGACCCCGATCAGCTGCAGGCGGATGTCCAACCACTGCATGGCGGCGGTGCTGAGGAACAGGCAGCGTTGGTTCTGCTCCAGTCGCCTGGCGCTCTCCTCCTCAAACCTGACGCCACAGAAAACAATTCCTCCAGTTCCAGGTTTTAGAATCCAGCCCTTTTTCAGTGTGCGACGAGTTTAAATACACAGCAAAACGTTTTCAGGGACTGACAAATGTTTTGTGCTTAAAGGAGACATATTATACCCTATTTCAACAAGTTAAACTAGTTCCCTGGTGTCCTAATGTAATGTCTGTGACAACTTTGGTCAAATTACCATAAGGATGAAGCCCAATAGCAGTTCAATCACCCTGCCAAAACAGCCCCGTTCAGAGCGCTCGGTTTTGAGTGCCTGTCTCTTTAAATGCAAATGAGACACAGGCAATCCACCCACTTCTTCCGGGAGGGGTGCCGAAGTCGGCACGCTAACGCTACCATGCTAACGCTGACACTCACGTTACCACGGCGTCTGCCACAGATAGGCGGAATAAGCTGAGGTGGGGGGCAACATGCAGGTGAAAGGCTGGAATATTATAATGAGCTAGAGCTGATGACGTTGTAAGCTACCGATTTCTGAAACCTCCTGATTTATCTCCTGTATTGAGACTGAGGCGGCCCACAAAAATATGACTGAGTCATTTTTTTTCACATTTTGCCTGCTGAAAGGCCCTCCACAGTCCCAAATGTACATAATCAAATTATTAAAAACTTGGTTTACATAATATGTCCCCCTTTAAGTTGAAGAAAAAGAAGTAAATCAAAAAGCAGAAATATCAGATGTGAAGGGATATTCCGAATGAGTCGGGCTGTAAAGCCGTCTCTGTCTCCGTCCGTTACCTGGCTGAACTGCCGCTGGCCCGGATAGTCCCGAGCCCCGTGAGCGTCTCGGAGAAGTGCGAGTACATGGGCGACAGGGTGAGGCTGCACAGGCGCTTGAGCTCCCGGGAGGTGTGCCGGTAGAAGTGCTGCGTGCGGTGGTAGAGCAGAGCCAGGGGCAGCAGCGCCACCAGCACCCAGGGCAGGCTGTAGCCGATGACCGCCAGCATGCCCAGCAGCCCGAAGACGTTGGCCAGCAGGATGTTCAGGGTGAACGGCAGGCTGTCGTCCACGCTGTACAAGTCCGAGGAGAAGCGGTTGAGGATTCGGCCCAGCGGGGTGGTGTCGAAGAAGGCCACGGTGGCCTGGAGGAGCACGAACAGAAAGACCCATTAGCTGTAATCGAACTAGGCTGGCTAGTCTGAGCACAAGTCCTCTTGCTTAACCCTGTAATGCCAAATGTATCATATTTGATACATACGGTTTCTGAAATGTTTTGCATCTGACACCTTTTGCATAATTTGATGTTTAAAAACTTTGCTCAAAATCCTATTGTACACAATCAGATATACCTGATAACGGGGGGCAGAAAACTACACACAAAATAATCTGGACTTATCACATAGTAACAAATTATTCATATCAAAAATGTATTTCTGTTTTTTATTTTTACATATTTTGTTAAAAGGCCAAATAAATGCCTCAAACCAAAAAAAAGTAATTTTTCTGTTTTTTTATTCTTGGATCGGGCTTTAAAGGGTTAAAGGTACACGGTGTAGGAATTTCTCGCATCTAATGGTGAAATTGTATTTTGAATTCTAACAAATCGTGCTCTCTAGAGCCTCATGTTTCCAAATGGGTATTACAGCTACGCTAGCCATCATGCATTAAGAAGTAATGACAACATGACTTCCACATCATCCAGTTTTCTCTCAGGTGATGGAGTTTGTAATCTAAAAAAATTCATTTAAATGAATAAAAAAAAAAAAGAATTTAAAATAAATTTCTGTCACGTGACTCTGGCTCTGAAAAAAAATGTGTTGTGGATTAGCTAGACAGGCAGACTAGTGCTTTATGTCCCTCTCTGCCATTATAGTTTTTCAAAATGGCGGATCGCCATGGAAACTCGTCCTGTGTACACACGGAAAGGAAATTCTTCATTTATGAGGAGATAACAGATCATTGCAGAGGCCATTTTACACCAAATGAGGACACATTTAGAAACGAAGACAATGATTTTAGCTAATAAAATACTTAAAATACTACACAATGTCCCTTTAAGAGCATTTGAGACCCAGTTTGACTGACTGACTGGAACCTGTTATCGGAGCTCCTGTGACGCACCTTAAGGACCCGGTCCAGAAGTCTGTTGTGGATGGCGGAGGCAGCACAGACCACTCCGTAGGCGAAAAGGAAGGCTCGGAGGGCCGTGAACACAGTGTTCGACGCGGCGATAGAAGCGTAGACTGTCAGATAGAACCTGACGTCCAGACTTGTGTTGTTGGACGCAAAAGCTTCCACGGAGGGCAGAGGTGACCTGGGCGGGAAACGGTCAATTTATCTAATTCAGGGAAAGCTTAAACAAGTTTCAGAAGACATAGAAATGAGGCTTACTTTGAACTTTATCTATGCGTTTGATGGTTTTACTGTTATTTTTACTAAATACATGCAGACTTAAGGACTCCTTTTTTGATCCTTTGTTTAAAATGTATCAATATAAAATGTAATCTGCATAACCCTGTCAGTTATTCAGGGGTTTTACAGAATAATGTCCAGTGGAAAGCGAATAGTCCAATTTGTCATTTATCTATACAATTCTATAGGTACTGTGCAAATTAATTGTTCAGGAAAAATGTACATTGGTAAATATTCATTCTGATCAGGAAATATAAACAATATAATTCTTAATATGTGCCCTTGTTTTTAGTTTTCAGCTAGTTTGAAGCAGAATGTGTCTAGGGCTGCACTGGATTTTGCTGAGTCAGTTTTTAGCTAAATTATACACAATATTACAAGTTTCTGAACAAATCTTTTCATATTATTTAACTTGTACAAAAGGATGCAGTGCCAATGTAATGACAGAAGCTACGTGGTGAACTCACAGTAGTCCACCGGGTGAGAAAAGCAGCAGGTGAGGGGACGCGACGGGGGTGGAGGAGGAGCCGTTGGTCGTTGAGGAACCGTTGCTTCTCAGTTCTGATATCCAGTGGGACAGCCACCAGTCCGAAGCGTTCTTTGAGGCTGAATATCCGACACAACACAGAAACAGAACAACCGGCTCATCTGCTGTGCGCCGAGCGGTGAAAGGCAGTGACTGAACAACCGACTGGGGCGAGTACAAGGATGGATATCCAACTCCGCCCATATCCAAGACGGCCATTTTTATTACGTCACCAATAGGAAGATCCCAGGCAAAAAAATTGTAATTGCCTCATGGCAATATAGACATTAATTTACAAATTGTGAAATTAATCTTGCAAACACTAACCCTAACCCTAAACTCTATACATAATATTAGCTTAAAATAGTGGATGTTAAATAGGTTTGTACAATAAGTCCAAACAAATTTAACCAAAACATATTTATTTCTCACAATTATGAAGGGTGGAAGGTTAGGGTTAGCGTTAGGGTTAGGGTTAGGGTTAGGGTCAGGGTTAGGGTTAGGGTTACGGTTAGGGTCAGGTTTAGGGTTACGGTTAGGGTCAGGGTTAGGGTTAGGGTTACGGTCAGGTTTAGGGTTAGGGTTACGGTTAGGGTCAGGTTTAGGGTTAGCGTTAGGGTCAGGGTTAAGGTTATGGTTAGGGTCAGGTTTAAGGTTAGCGTTAGGGTCAGGGTTAGGGTCATGGTTAGGGTTACGGTTAGGGTCAGGTTTAGGGTTAGGGTCAGGGAAAAAGCGAGGATCCCCTCCAAACCTTGCATGAGGAGTAGGGACAACAGGATGGAGGTGGCCAGCACTCCGCCCACGGCGCGCCAGTAGGTCTGGTAGACCCTCCACGCCAGGCCTCCCACTTGCTTCCGTTCCCCCTCTAACAAATGTGGATCATCATCCACGAACAGGTCAGAGGAAGATTCGGGTTTGTCTCCATCCTGTTCTGTGCTATCTGGTTTCAATCATGAAGAGGGAGAAAAAACAAAACAGCAAACATGCTTTTTATGTTTTTCAACCACACCTGACTTTAATAAAAGAATCCGTGCTCGACTATTTCAGCTTTTTTACCACATCGGCATTCTTTGTAAATGCTGCTTAGTAATATTCTATCAACTGGATGAATGAGCAATACCAACACCCTCACAATAACAATGCTAATGGTTAACAGGTTCTTTGTTTACTGTGTTAATCATTCTGATTTGCAATGCCCCTCCCGACAAACACAGATTACAGTACGTACAGTTTTGAGATATTTGATAGTGAACATAAAGTCAAAGAACAGATGATGGTTTGGGTGGTGACCCTCCAATGACTTCCAGAGATTAGTCAGTCTGTTAGAACTTAAACATACCATCCTGTTCTGCTATGTGGTCATTTCTCTCCATTTGTGGCAGAGTCTGTACCAAAGGAAGGATCTCTGCTGGTGGCCCTGTTTGAGAAAAAGTAAATGGAATAATTACTATATAGATATGTAAATTCAATATTGGATCTTGATAATGTTACCAGTATAACTCAGACAATAAAAGCTGAAAAGGAATGCTGAAGCCTCTAAGCATGCAGTCAGTATGCTCATGCACAAGCTAAAACTGAGCAATTTCTTTCCGTGGAAAAACCTTCAAAGCGTTTTTAAGGTGATGTCGTTTTTTTCTTCTTCAATGAAAGCTTGTTTTCTGTTAGCCAACATGTTCCATTACAAATTCTATTGGATAAGGAAGGCGAAAGTTTCCGTTAAAGTCGAAACAACCCCTTTGTAAATGTATAAAGTCCTCCCACCAATTTCCAGTATTTGTGTGATGATGCTGAGTTTATTTTGAAGTCTTTGCACGTCATGGTGCCCCAGAAAATCTCTCCAGAATAAAGGCGGCATGCCACCTGGGAGGACATTTCTGTGGCATCGCTGTATAATGCCGATTTTTGTTTGAACCTGTTTTAATGATTGTTCCGTTGTCCATGAGGACCATCACGTCCGCTTTGTCCACAAACTCTATGCGGTGCGTGCAGAGGATTCTGGTCTTTCCCCTCAGGAGCCCCATGATGCATTTCTTCATGAGGTGTTCGGCCACATCTGTGTCAACTGCTGCCAGTGGGTCATCCAGGAGGTAGATGTCTTTGTCCTGACGGGATGGAGAAAAAAGCCCACGTCAGACAGACAGCAGACAACGGGTTTCTCTGTCCTGTTTGACGTTTGGCTGACTGTTTCCCTCGCTAACGCGGGCAGAACTGACCATAAAAATCTCCACAAATCGACCTGACATGTCAGAATATGGGTATTAGTCTTCAGCTGTCAATGGAATTCAGCAATGGAAAGAAATACATGAGAACTCATTTGATATTTGACTTGAGTACAGTACATCAAATATCTGTCAACGCTTTTGGTGGTAAAACCTCTTTACATCTCAGTCAGTTAACTCTTTTAAGTCCCTTCTTGAAACATACTTTTATGGGAGAGCCTTTCCCGATCTTATTTGACTTTATTTTATCCCTTTTATTTTATTTTATTGTATTTTACTGATTTTATATTTATCCTAAACGTGTATTTTAGTCTTTTCAATGTTTTTCATGCTTTTATCTAAGATTGTTTTTGTATTATTATCTCTTGGGTGTTATTGTCTTTACACTTGTTATAGCACTTTGTAACTTGTTTTTGAAAATTGCTCTACAAATAAAGATTATTATTATTATTATTATTACTGTGGGGGGTGTGGGGGGGACTCACCATGTAAACAGCTCTGGCTAAAGCCAGCCGGGCTTTCTGTCCTCCACTCAGAGTCACTCCATTTTCCCCCACCTCCGTCCTGTCACCGTTTGGCAAAACCTTCAATCGAAGGAATGGAGAGGTAATTATTCGGACAGTGAATGCGTTCAACTCGTGACGGAAAAACCAACTGGGGCAAGTACATCTGGCTGCAGACTGCAGGAAGCCAAGGATGGATATCCAACTCCGCCCATATCCATGTCGGCCATTTTTATTACGTCACCAATAAGAAGATCCCAGGCAAGAAAATCCTAATTGCTTCATGGCTAAATAGACATTGTCTATTAAAAATAGTTAAATCAATCTGGCAAACACTGATTTAAACTCTATGCATAATATTAGCTTAAAATAGTGTATGTTAAATAGGTTTGGACAATAAGTCCAAACAAATTTAACCCAAAAAATATTTATTTCTCACAATTATGAAGGGTGGAGGGTTAGGGTCAGGGTTAGGGTTAGGGTCAGGGTTAGGACATCGTTTGTCTTCCGATTTCGTATAGACAGTAAAGTTTCGTTTCTACCTGAGAAAGCTGCTAGTCACATGACCTAATCAAAATGGCCGACTTCGATGTGCGAGGAGTTGGATATCAAACCGAGGCTTCCTACAGACTGCAACCAGAGGCTGCTCGACTGGGGGGCATCTAAATGAGGTCTGTTTTCATACTGATTCAACAATTGAAATGATTTTTCCAGATAAATAATGACACACTGTCATTTATCATGTCACATTTTCAGACCTGGTGCTAATCCGATCATTTTTAACATGGATGATCTCTTGAGTGTTCTTCCAAAACTCTTTTTCTGTCTTTATTTTCCTGTTATTTTGTTACTCTGATTGGTCATTGACAATGAAGATGATGGCATACGTTCAGGTCCTCTGATAGAGCACAGGCCTCGATCACAGCCTGGTAGAAGGCAGCGTCGTAGTCTTTCCCGAAAAGGATGTTGTCCCGTACTGAAGCGTGCTGGATCCACGGCTCCTGGGAAGCCAGGCCGAAACCGGCCTCTCGGTTTGCGACGTAGAGAACGCCGCTGAGCCTGCGGACGGAGAGAGCGAATACGACACGGCAAATCCTTACGTATTCGCTACATCGTCTCTGTCAGAATGCCCTGAAAAAAAGGATGCACGGCAACAAACCTGCTGAGTTCTCCGGTGAGGGCAGCCAGCAAGGAGCTCTTTCCGCAGCCCACCTTTCCCACCACGGCGACCAGGGAGCCCTGAACCGGACAGACGTTAGTCCTGCTGCTGCTCTATCTTGCAAAGGCTTATGTCGCAACTCGATCACTTCGGTCATCAATGGATTGTCATCTAGCAGAGCCTTCACCACGCTTAAGACCATCCAGACTGTTTGCATGTGTCGTTCCAAGATGGTGGAACGACCTACCAAGCGCTACAAGAACAGCAGAGTCCCTGTCTGTCTTCAAGAAACTCTTGAAGACCCCACCTCTTCAAAGAGCATCTCCTATCTTAACCCTAACCCGTACCTCTACCCCCCCCACAACTCCTTCTGTAGTCCCTCTACCTCTATCTCTATCTCACCACTGACTCTGATCAGTGTTTCTCCTCTGGATAGCTTATTGTCATAGTGATGAGAAATGTAATATTGTGTCTACTCTGTAAGTCGCTTTGGATAAAAGCGTCTGCCAAATGCATAAACATAAACATAAACATCTCAATATCGATGAACTCTATGCTTCAATTTATGGTTTCGTCTTTGGAAACTGGTTTCCAGTCGGGCAGTCGATGGTTTGATCCGGATTAAAGGGCCAGCGTGTGCCAGGTCAGGAAATGAAAATATCCACACAGGGACATAAAATCTATGCAAAATTATGCAATCACAAGTGCGATCTGAAACCAACTGAGAGTAAATTCAGTGGTCTTTTATTTTCTTATGGCCTGGCTGGCGTTTTGAACTAATCTAAGAAGAACGCTAAAGAAAGGTGTGATAACAGAGTGGCTGTACCTGAGCCACGTGGAGGGTGAGACCGTGCAGGTGCAGACTTTCTTTGGCAGCTCCAGGTTCAGCAGCCTCTGGGTCTGTGCTACCCGGGGGTCTCGTCCAGGAAAACGCCCCCTGGTTCAACAGGATGGACGTCTGACTGTCTTCGGGAGTCACTGTGGACACATAAACACCACACAAATGAGTAGCAGTAGCAGGATTCAAAATAAGATGTATGCCCAATATGTCTCACTGGAAAAATGAGCTGAAATTTTATGCAAAATCTATAACTCTAATAAAATTTAAAAAATGCTAGAAAATTTCATTACTTTCTGATTAAATTTTATTTTATTGATTAATGCCCTTCCTACTTTATTTTACTTATAATTTGCTTTCCATAATGATTCTTGTTTTATCATTATCATCATTTATTTATTTTATTTTTTCTGTCATTGTATTTTCTTAGATATTATTTTATATGTTTATTATACATCACCCCTTCTTATAAAAATCTTCATTGTAAGTGTTGATTGGTACCTTTATGTATTGTGAAATGTTGGAAAGAATGTTGGAAAGAAAATAAAGGAGAAAAAAAAAGTAGGATTCAAAACACTGAAATTGTCATTTTTACTGATGTGGGAGAGATTACATTGACTGAACTACTTTTTAGAGAAATAACAGCTTCTGTGGAAGCATCTGTGGTAATCAGGACCCACACATATTCTAAGCAATGCACGATGAACCCACTGTATCCAACATTCAACAATTAGATGATGCTCCACATACGGAGAAAGATTTTTCCTTTTCCGATCAGATCTCTGGTCACTTAACAAACAAAATGAGAATGCGTTGGCCTTACTCAGGGCATAGTAAGCCTGCAGGTCCTGGTTGGTCAGTTTGATCAGGCGCTGGATTCGCTCCAGGGACACTTTGGCCTCCAGGATGCCGTTCAGCACCCAGGGGAAAGCATTGAGGGGTGCTATCAGCATCCCCACCAGGGCCAGAGTGGTGAACACCTGCAAGGAAGCGGGGGGGGCTCAGTTTGGTGCTGCGCTGTCAAACCTGTGCTGTTCAAATTACCGATAAGAAACTATGAAATGTAACGCTTATTACCACAAAAACTTCCCACAATGTTTCATTCATCTGAAATGCTTTTCCTGAGACCTCAGTAAAAATACCGGCAACTGTGGGCTCCAAAAAGAGAGCACGACCGCCACAATTCAGACAATCAGGGGTTGAGCCCTCATATTTGGTCAGTGTGTGTTCAATAAATGTAAGGCAACTATGATCGGCAAGTCTAGAAAATGGTAAATACAAATGATGTGGGATCTAAAAACTGATCTGAGCTCTGGTTTCCGGCTCAGCTTCACTACTGCACAGAGCAGAGGCAGAGACGGGGCGGGCAGCGCCACCTGCTGGCGGGGAGAGGTGCGTCTACGTAAAAACCGAGCAAAGAATGAGCAGAAAATCATGTTCAAGCTATTTCGCCACAGTGAGGTTGTTTTTTGGGTTTTTTTTAATCGCTGATGAGAAAACTACAAACAAAGAATGGAACGGTGATCAAAACAGACAGGGTGGAACTACCAGAAGGCAGTTACAAAACCATGGAAAGGACGATCCTGGAGGCAACCAGCCCAAAGTACAAACAAATTACGGTATTAACGAATTAATAACAATTAATAACAAGTTACCAAATGTTCCTTTGGACCCTATCCACCATGTAAGCACTGCCCTGTCCCAAATGTTCCGTTTTTACTCGTGGCAACATTAGAAGTGTCTCATCTTCTTTGTGATAACAGCAGCATGTTGTGTTATTTTTTTAAAAGAAATTGCTTTAAAAAGAAATCCAGCACATAACAGTCGGCTTAGTGAGGAGCTCCCACCTTAGCTGCAGTCAGCGGGTGTCCCAGCAGCACGTAGGTGACGAAAGTCAGGATGGAGATGACCACGGGCAGGGCGGCCCAGGTGTACACGCACACGGCGTCCAGGTACTTCAGGGCTCGGAGGTGGGACAGCTCCTGTTTGCGGCAGTCGGCAACCATCCGGGCGAAATGAGCCTCCCAGTTGTAGAACTTTATGACGCGGATGCCGAAAAGGATCTCCGTCATTAACTGAGATTTTGAAAAAGTTACAAAATGAACAGAAAGTCTCAACACAAAGAACGTGATTGCCTTCTTACTAGAAGAGCTTTTACCAAATTTTACATTATGCTACAGAATTAAATACATTTGTTTTTGATGATACAGGATTTGGTTTTTAGCCCACTTTCTTCATACGTTGCTGACCATCGTCTTACCTTAACGCGGCTATCTTTGAACTGAAGCATTTCTTTGTTGTGGCTGAGGATGCGGGAGGCTAGGAACTTGTTGAACGGCACCAGCACCAGCGCCACGCCGAGACCCCCCAGGAAGGCCACGCCCACCTGCAGGTACAGCAGGTAGAGGGTGACGGCGAAGCGGAAGGGAAGGCTCCAGAGCTCGTGGAAGCTGTTGAGGAAGTTGACCACGCGGTCGGCGTCGGCGCTCATCAGGTTGACCACCTCCCCCAGGGAGGAGCCGGCCAGGCTGCAGCTGCTGACCCGCAGGGCTTTGCCGTAGATGGTGGACACCAGGGCGCCCCGCGCGGCCAGCGCCACTTTGGACACCTCGAAGGCGTAGATGTTTTGGAGGACGGCGCTGAAAAGGGTGGTGGCGAAGAGCCCGAGCACGCACCAGACCCCCCTGCTGACTGGCGCCCCGTTTTCCTCCATGAAGTTCACCAGGGAGCTGAGGAGGAGGGGCCCCGCGAAGGAACTCAGGTTGACCGTCGCTTTCAGGACGCCGAGCAGGTAGTAGCGTAAACCAAAAGCTTTATGCAGCACCCTCAGGAGTCCCACGTCGTCCTCCAACTCCGCGGGCTCGTCCCGGTGCCGCGAGCTCCAGGTGCCGTTCAGCAGGTTTCTGCCCACAGGTGTGGGCCACCGGTCCGGTGTCTCCCTACGCCCCGCCCCTTTTTGACAGGACTGCCAGCACTGGTGGAAATAGCCGCGGACCACGCTCGTCCGGAGCTTCTGGGGGAGGTGATACAGGTCAGCGGGGGCGTCCAGTTCTCCCCGCGCGCCCCGCCTGAGAAGAGGATTCAGCCACAGGTAGAAGAGGCGGGAGATGCAGCCGCTCCCGTCCTCGGCCACCATCTCACCTGTGTCTGGCGGGGGCCTCTCCGAAATGAGCGGGGATCCGTCCACGGCATTAATGTACAAGGTGTATCCATCATCCCTGACGAAGGGGAAAACAAATCCAAAGAGGTAGACCGCAAAAAGAAAGCTCCGGGCAGAAGCAAGGACCAGTCTTGCCAGTTTAAGAGGTTCAGTAGGAGTTAAATACTCCTTGTTTTCGCTGTAGGTGATCAAAGTGATGACATGGTTGGGGATCAGCAGGAGAATTGTGACTGGCAGCACGGGGGGTCCTCTTTTCCTCCTGAAAGCAGTTCTCAGGAGCACGCACGCGGCGCTGAAGTGGAGCAGCATGGCCAGAAGTCCACAGCTATCCGTCAGGATATCCAGGAACATGTCCTCCTCCCGGAGGACGCTCACCAGGACCACGTCTCCGGCGTAGAGCAACGCAGCAAGTAGGGCTGACACCGCCCTCAACACCCACCCACATGGAGGGGATGACTGGACGGCCCCACACCTAGGAAACAGAGATGTTTAAAAAAAAAAACTCTCATTTCAAAGCGTTTAGATGTAATTCCTCTTCATTCCACCTGTCTTTCACATGCAAATCACAAATTTCTAATTTTGTGTCCTGATATTTTTTAAAAATTATGTTAAAAACTGAACTTGTGCCAATGGATTTTTAAATGCAGCCACATTTACTAGTCTTGCAACATAATTACCACAATGAAAATGCCAAAAATGTGGTCATTATTCTCTAAATGCAGGTGGTATTCTATTTGAAGGCTGTAGTCCTCTCTCATGTACAGTACAAAGATGTACAGTAAAAATTATATTTGTCTTTTGTTTGAATTCAATTCAATTCAATTTTATTTATATAGCGCCACATCACAACAACAGTTGTCTCACAGCGCTTTCCAAACAGAGCAGGTCAGACCCTACTCTGAAGTTAATTACAGAAACCCAACAATTCCCACCATGAGCAAGCACTAGGCGACACAGGCAAGGAAAAACTTCCTTTTAACAGGCAGAAACCTCGAGCAGAACCATGGCTCAGGGTGGGCGGCCATCTGCCTCGGCCGGTTGGGGGTGAGGGAAAGAGAGGGCAAGAGAGAGAGAGAGAGAAAGAGAGAGAGAGGGCAAGAGAAGGACAGAGGGAGCAGAGAGAGGCAGCCAACACAGCAACACGTAGACTAGATGAAAAATGGCAATGATATTAATACTAATGATAATGGTAGAAGTTATGACGGCAACAGAGCATGTTGTTGCCGACATGTACAGAATATCTAACCCACCTCGCCATGCCAAGATAGCACGCACACATAACTGCCATCCCAGCATGAGGCAAAGCTCCCAGGACGAGCTGGTTGAAGCAGGGGCTGACGTTTCCATTCTGCCACAGAGGAAAAGGATTCTCCTCGTCTGTGTGGCAGAGGCCTGTGAGCAGGCCCGCTAGTCCGGATTCACTCATCCCTTCTTCTATCCGACTAATGCCATCCTACAAACGCAGGCACACAGACAAATAAGACGTTAAACATAAACTGTAAGGGGTAAGATGCATCATCAGAGAAATAAAATAGCTTTAGGTCTACCTTTAGCCAGTATTTTGAGAGGCAACTTCTTCTTAAGTGGGATTGGACAGGTTGTAAGATGCAAGCTGCAACCAAATCAACATGAATATTGTTCAGGAACTAGTTTGAAGCTAAAAATCTGGTGTTGGCTGAATAATGAAGCACCATGGTGGTTTGTAGACAGCAGCAGTTGACAACGATTCAAGGTGACAGCAACAGCAAAAAATATCTTAAGGGCTGAGGGAAAACGTTAGTGAACACTACAGGGGTGACTTCATGAAAGGAGTATTTGAACACTACCTGGTCATCATGCATTCTGCCAGAGGAGCCTGCTTGTTAAAGGTGAAGAGCTTGTGACAGGTGTCTATTACAAAGTTTCCGTCATCGTGGTAGATGTTTGCAGCTTATCTTCCAAGATAAATGTGCTTCAGAAGTGATATTTAACCAGAAAAATGAAAAAAAACAAGGCTTGCGTAAAAAGAACAGATGGCAGTTGTCAATTCAAACACGCCTCCTTCCAACACTGATGTAAACAAAAAGGGCTAGCTAACCTGGTTAGCAACATGTCGGGCTGTTTGTCAACTAACATTACGTATGACAGCTTTCTTAGATAAAAACAACGTAAGTAAGTTTAAGATATACCTATTTTAAAAAACACCAACATAACGTCATTTTTAATAAGTAACTTACAAATGTTACACCGGCTTTCAATTTGAAAGAAGGAAATGCTTCCGGCGATTAATGATGACGCAAAAGGAAGCGAGCTGAGCCAGTTCAAGTCGGGCAACTAGAAATGCCAGTAAAACGTGATCATAAACTTGATAACTGCCTTAAAGATATTGTCAAACTTACACAAGCAAACTCTGCTGGTATGGAAAATGTTTTCAGATATAATTTCACGCTATAATTTTCACCAGTATTCAATATAAAAAAAGTCAATATATAACAAAAACTGGGTTCAAAATAGCATTGTGCAAGTTTAATTTAACTGTACATGCATGGAAATAAAGTCCAGAAATTGTATGAAAACAGGGAGGTTGTCTTTAGTGACAGGCCTTAAAGAACAAATGAAGAAACAATCCAAAGGGTCTGAGGTTTTTATTATGCGTGACTGTAGAAAAAGAGCTAACTAATTTTTAGAGCCTTTCTATAATTTAGAAAATGAAGTGCTGGTTCTCTGTGTTCTCCTGAAAAAGACAACAATTACCTGTTTGAACACGCTTCTACACGTAAAAACGGCTAACTCTCGGAAACAAAGAAACCAGAAACGAATTCATCTGAAACAGAGTAAACTACAATCAGCGTACAGTTTACAAATTCTGTAACCTGGGGGTTTTAATCATTGTTCAATTATGACATAATGCAACATAAATTAAGAACAAAAAACAATTTTACAAATTTGGTTAAGTAGAATTAAAAAGAAGAGACAGTTAAATACTGGGTGCAGGTGTCTAAGGCATCTTTCATTTAATAGAAAAAAGATCTAGATGTCTTCAAAGCAGGAATGAAGCTATACAATGTTACATTAGATTTTATTCCTTACAAACTGTACAAAGTCTTTCCTTCCAGGCTGGCTACACCAACCACAATTCGATGCAGTTAACCTGTGTTTTTGTTTGTTGGTTGGTTTGTTTTAAATATCCTACATATACTGTGTCCAGCAGACACACACTACATTTACATATTCAAACATGAAAAATATAAATATGAGCCTTTTCTATCCATCCTAATGGCATCGCATGTCTTCAGACACATTTGAAAAAAAAACAGGAAAAAAAAACAAAACAATCATTCCCGTGAATCGCAAACTGAAAATTCCACCAAAGTGCTCCAAAAAATGAACAGAATTTCAGCTTTTTGGTCAAATTTCTCTGCTTTGTACAATGTTTTGTGTGGAACATTTTGGTTGGCAGCAGTTAACAAATTATTAAGAGACACTCAACAGAAGTAAAGCCAATGATCTCAGACGGCCATGAGCTTATTTGACCAAAAGGCATGTAAATTGGTGCATTTCTGAAAACCGAGGGAACTCTCAGAAGTTCAGCCGGACTGCTAAGCCCATCGTTTTGGGGGGGAGGGGGAACATATCTCCATTATGTATCAAATTTCTGTTAAAAAAAACAAAACAAAACACAGTAACTACAAAGCAGCATGAATACTGTAGAGCCGGCCCATTGCTGGTCATCCGTTAACCATCAGAAAACGCCCCGGCCATAATTCTGAATTAAAGCTATCATATAGCTGGAAAAAAGACAACCATGTAACTCAGATAAACATAAGACCGCTCACTCTCTTTTTTTTTGCGTCTTGTTACATGATTGTCAAGTTAGGCCTAGTCATCGAAAATCCTATCATATGTATAGCAATGCATAGACAGTAATCAACCAAAGCGAATGGAAACTGAAAACAATACAGAATAAAAGTGGGACCTTGGAATTTTTCTTCACTGTATCAATCAGTAACACAAGGAGAAAGATGGGCTGGGTATCATCAATGCAGTTATTGGTTTTTAATCCTAGATTGGAAAAGTCAATTCTGTCTTAATAACCACAAACTCCAGATAAAAAAATAAGCAAAACAAAATGTGACAAAACAACATGTTACATGTTGACTGGGAAAAAAGCAGCCACGCAACTCAGGTGGAAAACAGTCGACATTTAGACAAGATCGAGGAAAGAAACTAAAAGCAGGAAGGTTGGATGCCCAGCCCGGCATGCCAGCGTACCGCTTGTGGTACCACAGGATTTCACGTATTCTTTGAATATATTTAGGACAAGTAATTCGGCTCTGGAGAAAATGTTTAACAAGTCGACAATGACTCAGCAGAAAAAAAATCCACAAACGCTGTTCATACATTTCCTATGTTGAATTTCAATCGACTCAGCTTCCGGTTCACCGGCGAACACCACGTACCGCTTTATTTGTAACCTTTAGAAGGGCAGCTCAAATCTCATTTGAATGCTCTGGAATGAATGAATGAAGCTTGAGAATAACAGCTCTTGTGGCCCGTTTATGAACGTTTTTTTTTATAAGGCACGGTGGCTTTTGGGCCCAGACCTCTGTGAGCTGCCCTTAGTGAGCCCGCACGTTCAGCTAGCAGCACAGGCTACATCAGCACCCTCAAAGCCAACTTGCACAAGTTTCAAATCAAAAGCCGTGTCGTTGTGACCTCAAGCTTGATTTAGAGTTGCTTAAATTTAGCCTGAATGCCAATTTAGCTAATGAACTTCTTCTCATATTGTGGAACTATAGTGTAAATAATTATCATTAATCATTATTACTGTATGTCTTTAGACACTTTAAAAATAGTTTATATTAATATTTAAAGGTTTTTACAAAGGAAGTTGAGGGTTTGAAGTTCAGCAGACTAAAACAAATCAGACAGATGCTATTCTTATGAAATAGCAGTATGAATGCTAACTGTAAATGAATGCCCCCTTAATCTGCTGAAAATGTCTGGAGTTCTAATAAATGCAGTTAAAAAGCAGTAAAGTGACTGCACAACAGAGATTTTGTCGGGCCATGAAAGCGTCCACATTCACCAAAAGCAACAAGTCTGTTCTTATGAAGAAATTTCAGCACTTAAACATATGAGAAAAAAATTATGTGTATTCCTCCAGCTATTAGCATTTCCACATGCTAACGTATCTAGCTGGTTTTGGACCTTTTATTTACATTTCTGAACAAGTTCCGCCATTCGATCTGCAAAGTTTATGCCGTTCAGAACCCGAATAGTCAGCTCAATCTGGAGGGTTATGCTTTGACTTACAGCGTTTCCATTATTAGCGGGTTTTTCGGCCCGCAAAAGGGCTGGAGCCTTAATTCCCGACAGTGAGCAGCTGTTTTAAGGAGGTTTGGTCTTTGAACACAGAGCACCCATTGAGTCAGTTGGCCCGTTCGCGATGCCGTATCAACATTAGCGAGCTCACTGGGATGTTAGGGACCCTGTATGTACAACCCCTCCACCAACATCCCCTCAAATACACACACACACACACACACACGCACGCACACGAACATCTTAATAATTCTAAAAGGCAGAGATACCCAAAGTCACAGCATGTACTAAACCTGTAAGAAGCAGTCAAATGACTGGACAGGCCTTGATTTGTTGGGAGATTTTAAACGTGTTCACACATGGTTAGTGACCTTAACACTAGTCACAGCTTGTAAAAAAAAGAAGTTGGCCTCTTGTTCCGGTTAAGCTACCATATGATCCTAAAACCCCTTTTAAACGTTGATAAGCGTGCCCGACGGTGAGGGCCCATCGTGCCACGGCGTTAGCGTTTAAGAGGAAAAGCTCAAACCTGGAACACCAACGTCTGGTTGTTTGAAAGATTACGGCTTTTTAATACTGAAACGGGTTTCAAAACAAGAAAAAAGGTAATGCCGCCAGACATGAAATACAATATAAAAAGTCAAAGTGCTTTGCGTGTTGCGTTGGCGTCCCTATCAGCAGAAACTATGGAGCTCATCAACCATGCGTGAACAGGTCTCCGCCCACCAAAGATCGTCCAATCATTTCAACTGCTCGATTTAAAAAAGAGAAGTTCATAATAATAAAAAAAAACTATAAAAGTCAGAGCATAAATCTCCAGAATTGACTGAACGTTTTGATGACAGAATGAGCTAAATGACATTAAACTCTTTGAGACGAAGAAGATGGAGAAACGTAAAAATAAAGGAAACAGAGCCCACGGGGGGGTGAGTGCTGCGTACAGCCTTCACGTTACCATTCCACTGAGGTAAGATCCGCTTTGGGGGTCGATGTCTGAAAAGGTTCATCCTTCATAGAAGTCCATGAACATCTGTATCTGAAGCCATGCCTTCTCATCATCTTAGAAATTCAGCCAGAGCTGCTTCTGGTCTTTAAGAACAGAAGAAAGAAAAAAAAAAAAGAAAAAAGAATAGTAATTTTACAGGATGAGTCTGAAGTCCGCGTGGGAGGATTTTCTCTGTACATCACACAACAACGGTGTCCTGGAGGAGGCGGGGGGGGGGGATATAGAGGCTTTTTCTGGAGTATTTTCCTGTATGAGGAAAGCCACGCGCACACACACTTACACACACACAAACTCACACACACCCTCTGCTGTCCTTCCTGTTACACAGTTCTGACAGCTCATCTCAGTTTTCGCCCCGGCTGAGTCTGCTCACAGGTTTTTGGTGTTTATGTGAGTCTTGTAATGCTTCGTCAGGTGGTCGCTCCTCATGAAGCGTTTCTGACACTGGCTGCACTCGAAGCGTTTGTCTCCTGAGGGAGCAAGGACAGAGGAAAGCCGTGAGCGACGATGAATGCGAAAGAAAATATCATTAGCAGGACGTCGAATGAAAAAGAACTATCATAAGCATTACAGTGCTTAGCAAAGCTATTCACCACCCAATGGGAGGTTTGTGCCCTGAAGGAGCAGCTCCAGAATAACTCTGCATGATCCTCTAATGGTTAAAACTCAAGTATAAAGAAGTTCTTTATCCCAGATTATGTTTTAACACTAACGTAGATTACTATTGTTATCCATGCATTTTCAAATATCCTGTTTGACCAAAACATGAAAAAATGGTAAAGAGCATCATTATTTGATGTACAGTGGGGGAAATAAGTATTTGACCCCTTGCTGATTTTGCAAGTTTGCCCACTTACAAAGAATGCAACGAATTCAATGAATAAATAAATGAATTTATAAAAATTGATAACCAACTGATGAGGAAAAATAAGCATTCTTTGTAAGTGGGCAAACCTGCAAAATCAGCAAGGGGTACTTATTTCCCCCACTGTAAAATTATATTCATTTCCTGTAATTCCTGAACAGAAAAGGGAGTTTTGGTTGTTGAAGGTTCTGCTTGATGCATCTGCTACTTCTCAGAGAAGCTCAGATTTGGGGAGAAAATGGAATGGAAAAGGGAAACTTTTGTTAAACTGTATCAGCCTGCACTCTTTCAAACGTTCCCTATTTGTTCCTGTTTATCAGCGAACTCTGAAGTTCATTAATTCCATTGAGCGTGTCAACTGACACGGTACTTTTACCAAATAATGAGGGCCTGATGCCTTTCCTTTTTGGTTGGGTCGTGAGTTAGCATTGGTATTAGCCATTAGCATCCACGTTTGGTCCCCTTTAAGGCTCATCGTCTAACAAATCTGAGGGGGTTCGGTACCTGTGTGTGTCCGCGCGTGCCTCTGCAGCTCGTCGCTGCGCGTGAAGCGCTTCCCGCAGAAGACCCAGTTGCAGACGAAGGGCCGCTCCCCCGTGTGCAGCCGGACGTGAGCCCTGAGCAGCGACGTTTTCCTGAAGGTCTTCTCGCAGCCGGGGACGTGGCATATGTGTTTCCTTTTCCCCACCTCACCGGGCCTGCGGGGGAAAAGCGTGACCGTCCATGTAAACGCCCACTTCTGAGCACTTTAGCATTCAACTGAACTGGAATTGTGATTAAAAACAATTGTATGCATTGTCCATGTAGACAGAAAACAATCTCAAGACACCATAATATAATATGCATCTTATTTAAATGTATGCCGACAGTTTTCAGTGTACAGAATATTGATTTTCAATCAGAATTAATCCATCATCCATTCCCAGCTGACCATGTTACCTTCGAGCCTTTCGTTTTTTAATGAGGGGAAAAACTGTCAACACTTTGACATCACCTCTTGTCTGTGTCTTTGCAGTTGGGGCAGGTGCAGGCCATGCGTCGCTTTTTCTCCCCCGGCTGACCGGGCAGCTCCAGGGTGAGGGTCTGGTCCACCTGGATGGCCTGCTGGCCCTGTGCGGCCGCCAGCTGGATCCCGGCGCCCTGCATGGTCTGCACGGTGAGGTGCTGCTGGCCTGACGGGCAGAGAAAGACACTGTGTCAGAGACGCTGTCTCCCCGGAGGTGGAGCCCAGATCTAGAGCGGGGATCCTAAACTCCAGGACCTCAAAGGGCCAGTCCAGAGAGTTAGATGTTTCTTTGCTTCAACAGATCTGATTTAGATTAAACGGCCCTTCAAAACATTGTGTTCTGCACATCCACTGATCTGAATCCAATCTGTAGAAGCAGAAAAACATCTCGAGCCTTCAGGAGTGTGACACACCTGGTCTAGACAGGCGTCGTTCGTAAGATTTAAAACAACCGATTGAAGGGTTGAACACCAAACACCATGAAAGCTTCGGAATTTTAAAGAAAGAGGCAACAACTGATCACTTGTAAGCCTTTTTTAAACTCAGATATTAAGCACTAAAATGCAACTTAACTTTCAGGCAGATTGGAACACATTACTAGTACAACTAGCACTACTAGTAGAACATTTGGGAAAGAAATGTATCGTGTAAAAACGATTCAGGTCATCTAATTTATAAAATCATGAACTGGCAGGGATTGTCCAGGTGTACTTTTTGGTCTACACCATCTGAGTAACTTCCCTTTGACCAGTGTGAAGGCCGACTCATTAAAGGCCCCCGCAAAGGGAGAGAAGTTACTGCGAGGTGGAGGGATGACACCGTTTTAAATATGCCCGTTTACAGTGTGTGCTACACATCTTGGGGTTATTCGGATTTTTTATATGTGTGTAAATAGGTCAAACTAAATTTAAACCGTGCGGTTCCCCACTGGCGGCAATTACAAAACCTACATTTTTCCTTACATAACCACCATGAAATGAATCAATCCATAAATAGTATGTGATGGAGAGGTCGAAGGAGCGAAATGCATGCGCTCGCTTGGCAGGGAAAGATTTGCAAAGTTATGGGGGAACACAATGATAAAATAATGTGGGGTATGATGTATGTGCAAAGCTGCCCCCCCCAGAAGGCTTCACTGGTTACTGTGCTGTCATCCTGCTGTTGTTGACCCCATGACACGTGTCAAGTTTACACGTGTCTCGTTTTCATTTAGCCAAATCCTAAAATATGGCTCCACATGTGACACAACTCAGCTGAGCACAAACACGCAAGCACACACATTCATAAATACTCAGGATGCATGTCGGTGGGACACATTTGTTTCTCTGTGGTTGTGTGCACTGTTTTGAGGAGAAGGCAAAAGATCGAAATTGCATACATGACGACTTTTCTGTCAAACTCTGAAATAGATGCGTCATAAGGAGCTGCCTGGCACTAAAGCTGTTGCCCGTGTGCTGTGGAGCATGAAACATGCCCCCACAGAAAACCGGAGCTTCCTCTCAGCAGCTTCTTCTAACAACACATTTCTAACAACTTGCGTGCAGATCTAATGAATTGCGGCTTTATGCCTTCCTGGGTCAGGAAAAAAAACACGGTGTTAGCATGCTGATATTCTGAAGACGCATCCACAGACGTCGTTCTTTAATAAATATGTGACCCGATTTGAACTGCATTATCTGGCGTCCTGTTGGTTTGACTTACATGTTGTTTATGCCCTGCTCAATCATCTCCATCAGGGCTAAAATTCGAAAAAGTAATAACATCAAAATGTAATCATATCAGCAGATTTGCTATCAGGGTTACGTCATGACAGCAAATCCGAGCTTCCATAAAGCTCTCCAACTATTAACACCGACTGAGGGGTTGGAAAAAAACAAGCCGGCCGTGCACTCACCCCCGGCGTTGGTGATGGTAACAGGAACTCCTTGAACTTGGACCCCGTTTATGCTGATGGTTTGAACCGCTTGTGCTGCCGAGGAGAGCTGGGATGGGTTGAAAGCTATTATTCCCCCCGCTGGGGCAATTTTAGCCAGAGTCCGCTCCTTTTTCCCGCCCGCGTGCGTCCTCTTGGTGCTGGCGGGCGGCGACGTCGTTGCCGGGGCAACCGAGGTGGCGGGGGTGGTCGTGGTGGAGACGGATTCCTGAAGCTGAAGCGACTGCCACTCCCCTGAAGATGTTTTAAAGAGGATCTAAGGACAGAAAAAGACACACGTTTGAACTTGAACTTAACCGTGAGATGTTGACTGAAAGAAATATGCCTTTCAAACTAAAAGCATGAATCATATACACTATCTCCACTGAATCTCAAATGGATGCAGATTTATAAATTATAAACTGAAAGTGCAACAGAGAAGCAAAATAAATAAATAAATAATTGCAGAAATAACCCTCATTCCTTTGAAAATGTATCACATGACAAAGGGTCTCTACATACTGATGGACATGTGGACAATCACCACACATCTGTAGAAAAATCAACCCCCCCTGACAGCAGAGAAGCAGTTTTTTTATTTTTATTAGAGCTTTTTATTTAATCATTTTAGTAATTTTACATAACATCTCCTGAAAAAAACTCAAGTAGTAAACATCACGACAAACAAATACCAAAAATCTTGATTATTATGACAGACGGAGAAGGTTTTGATCAGCTGAAAAACAGAGGTGGGACGGGGTTGCAGATACCTGCGTTGGCGTCGGGTCTGCTGAAGTGACCTGCAGACTGGAAGCAGACGGCCTCTGAGGGACCTGGGGCAACGTGGCGGAGGCGGCCTGCACCACCTTCAAGGCCTGCTGGGGGATCTGGACCAGCTGAGAGTCGGGCTTTGGCTGGACCAGCTGGACCTGCTGCACCATGGCGGGCTGCCCGGGACTCTGCACAATCAGCAAGTTGTTGCCTGCCTGTCATTTAATGAGATAACCAGTTTAGGCGACAAAAAAAAGAGCTGTACATCATTTCTAAATCATTGAGATTTAAGTTAAGAATTTTTTTTAAATTTTGCTATTGTTGGATGAAAAGGGATAAAATACGACTTTAGTGTGACACTTTTAAACACAAAAAGAATCACCACAGACCCAGAGACCACTTCTTTGTACAGGACGATATGATGATAACAACAATGATATTTTCAGACGATAAGCAGAAAACCGGGCTGGTGTACCTGGATGATGTTGTCCCCGGCCTCTATGACTATGGTCTCCATCTGCTCCGGGGTCGGGGAGGCCGCCTGTGCGGGAGCCGGTGGCGGAGGCTCGGCGGGCAGGACCACTTTCTTTTTCCTCCCCCGCCGCCCCTTTTCGGGCGTGGGGGGCGCGGCCGCCGTCTCGGTGACCACGGGGGTCCCGCCCACCTCCCCGGTGGCTACGTTGAGGGGGAGGGTGAGCCCGCCGGGCAGCTGCACCACGTTGGCGGCGGCGTTGTTCGACTTCCGCGTCTTGGGGGAGGGCTTGATGGCCACGGTCTTTGGCGGCGTGATGGGGGTGGCGGCGGCGGCCGGGGCCGGCACGGTCATGGGCGTGGTGATGATGGCCTGGTTGGTGCCCGGGATGAGCTGGATCTGGCCCCCCTGCGGCATCACCTGGATGGTCTGCGTGCCCTGGATCTGCGGCACCACCTGGTACTGGATGTTGGCCGGGCCCGACGCGCTGGAGCGGGCGGGGCTCTGCTGGATGGTCAGCACGATGGGGGCGCCGGGGGCGGCCGAGCCCAGGCCGGCGGGCAGCTGGATCACATTGCCTTTCGTTGGGAGGAAGCTGAGGTTTTTGGGGGGCGCTGGAGCTATTGGAGCCGGCTTTATGGGGAGAAGCCTCCGAGGCTGTGGCTGTGTGGGGGGGGACGTTACAGGGGCCTGAGCGGCTGGAGGTCCGATTTTACTGCAGGTGGCCGCCAGGAGGGCCAGAGGAGAAGGCTGAGTGTCCTGCTGGGACAAACATAAGCTGTGTTAACACCAGCACAGAGAAGAGTTTGGCATTAATATTCATTAGATGAGGCACGGGGAGTTTAAGTTAATATGCAACAAGTGGCCGAGGCAGACAGGTAAGCTCTAAAAAAAAACGATTCCAACTGTAATGCCCTTAGGTCCACATGTGTGATCCCAAAGCTGCATGATGCTACTGGTCATGTAGATTCATAGCTGAGGAATGCCAACCAGCTGAGCTGAAAGCTTTGTGTTTGCAGTAATGGCAACATCATCTTTAGGCTCTTTAGGTGCTTCAAAATCATTGAAGACAGAGAGTTTTTGTCCGAGGTTTTAAGTTATATCAGTATCCTAGGGTTTTCTGAGGCTCCTTTTTAAACTGATCAGGATTGCTAGTGCCGTTTCAAAGGTTACGGTCATAATGGATGAACATTCCTACTGTTGAAATGTTAGACAATCTGAATATTTTGTATAGAGATAAATGAAAATGTCCTGTTTTAGGTGACACAGAGGGAGCAGAACCATTTTCTCCTCTTCAAACAGACACCTGGTTGTGTTTCAAAGCTTCAGTTTGTCTCTGACACTTATTTATTCCACACTCCTTTTGTCTCAGAGCACCTGACACAGCGCTGCTTTAAGACATGATGGGAAAAAGTTTCTTAATAATGATTCAGGTAACAGAGTGGAACTGTGATGTTACAGAAATGTCAGCAGATCAGCTAATGTTGCCACACGTTTATTTTCACAGAGCTGAAAACTGAAACCTGAACATCATCGCTAACTCAGGACAAATGCATTAGGCGTTTCTTAAGCGGGTGAAATGATCACTGATCATAACTGCTGATCAGATTAGGTATTTAAAAAAAAAGGAAGAACTTCATATCAGTTCCTTTTTTCAAATTCAAATTTCAGAATGACATAAAAAGGCCTTTTCCAGGGAGCCTTAAAGGGTTTAAGAAATTAAAGGTGATCGGCAGAAATGGGGTTTGATCAAGCCTTGAAAGCTGATGCTAATTGTTTTTACAGGTTTATCCAACTGTACTGATTGCTTACAACCTCCCTCTGTCTGCGGACAGCAGCCCAAAACATTATGGTTTAACAGGGATGACGTGTGGAGAGCGGGAAATGACGCAGGGCTGCTACTCACTTGTGCGGAAGTGGTGGAGGGTTGAAGGTATTCACTGGGACTCACAGCAACAGTGGTGGCCATAATGTCCTGTTGTTCTGGAAAAGACAAAGCAGCGTACAGAAATCGGGTCAAACCGGCTGTCAACAGGTGTCACGCAAAACAACAACAACAACGCTCGTCTGCCGGATGAAGAAACGGCTCCACATCTGCCTGTAATTCCAGCCAATCCCTGCTGTCTTTCTGTGAGAGATGAGCTACACCCTGGACCGGTCAGCGCTCCATCACAGGGCAACACAGAGACCCACAACCACGTGCACTCACACTCACCTCCACTGTCAACATGTAACCTAACCTGCAAACCCAGGCACCCACATTTTTTAAAAAGCATCCCATCATTCTTATATTAACTTTGACTTCTCATAGGCACTGGACCATTAGAGTAAAGTTTTTTTTAAGGTTTTGACTCACCAATGTCTTTTCATTAACTACCAAATGCTTTACATACTACACATCACACTTAAGGCCGCTGATAAGGTGGAATGGATGTAATAAGATGCCCAAAAAGTGTTATTTTAAACAAGGGGATTGTCAAAAGTGAATGCTATTGCGGTGTAATTTAGACTCAACTTTTGGGGAGAAAAGATTAGTAGAGATTATCTTAGATCTTTTAGCAAATGTGTAAAAATAAAGGATGGTGTGAACACCTAAAAGGCTGAGAGGGGTTTGCATATTTCTTCCCACTACAGAGCAGAGAATCATTAAACTACTGAAGGAATCTGGAAGAATTTCAACATGTAAAAGACAAGGGAGCCAGCCTAAGCTGAACACTGTGATCTCTGATCCTTCAAACAGCTCTGTATCAAGATCCCTCATTCATCAATAGCTGATAGAAGCACACGGAGAAGAGATTGCTGAGGGGAAACCTTTGTCAGCACCACAATGCAGAGTTACAGTCACCGAGCAGAAAGAAGCCTTAAACCTTCCATACATCTCTGGGCTCAGAGCATCAGGATGGACTATCACACAGCAATTCAAAAAGGTTTTAAAATGTATTGAGCACATCGTATTTCAGTTCTGACACCCAGTGTAAGCAAACTGACTAGTTTCATGGGGTCAAAATCCATAATCACTGGTCACTAGTGATGCAAAAGTATTGCTAACTTCACTTAGATAAACACTGGCTGAGTCCAGGGCCTGTTCACCAACTGACACCAGAAAACAAACCACAGCTAACATCCAACCAGCCACACAGTTCAACAACTAGCTATATTTAAGGGAAATGAGTCACGTGATAAGGTGTGATCCATCACAGATCTACTGTAATGGTGAGAAAAAACATATTTCATATGCACAGACAGTATGAGTGCTCGCGAACTTCCCTTCCCTGTGCAAGCATGGCACCTACCGGATATTGACATGAAAACAACAGGCAGAAAGAAATGAAACTAAAAAAAAGTTGCTCGTGATGGTAAAATGTTTCCTCCATGTCTGCTGATGTTAGCCTTACTGTTTGTTTGTCTTTATTTGGTGCTAATTAATTACACATTCTCAACATTCTATGATCTCAATGATCTTTTTATGACTGAACTTCACGTTTAGGGGACTCAAACGACGGATATAGCAGCTTGCTGAGCGTCTAATTTTTGTGTTGCAGTATCCAAAGAGTTCAATAGGATAAACTATGCTTCCGCTATTTTACAACCATTATCATTCATGATGGTGTAACTTTATGTCACGTTACAAACCATGCAAAAACGCACAAAGAAATCAAACTAAACAATGTTGTCCCAATACAGCGCCGCCATCAAAGATGTTTTGTTGGGTCTGTTTGTTCTGGACAAGCTACTAGCGTTAGCAAGTTAGCTAACTAGCGATATTGACTAGCCGGGGAATATTCAACTCGCTAGCTCACGTTGATATTTGTGCAGCCAATTTTTATTTTTACTGACGCAAAAATCACAGTCGAAACTTAACTTTAATGGTCACAATTTAGTTATTTTGTTATGGTATTGACGGTTCGTGAAAAGGCATGGAAATGTTTGGGGAGGAGAAAAAAAAGAGGACCCAGTAACATAGCCACTACTAACATTTTGCTAGCTGACGCGCAGCTAGCAAGTCAAACTCTCTTTGATAACGTTACAGAAAAAGGCAGTCCTTTTCCGGAAGTACACCGCTGATTTTGGTGCGCACAACCGACGGAGCTACACACAAAAAATGTTTTGCTTGCAACAAAATATCTTATCAATATCTCCTATTTAAAATATAATGTTTTAGGGCGAAGAATGTAATATAAACACCAATGTTTAAATTCCTACCCACCGCTCATGACGACATTCGCTCTCCGTGAGCCTTGAAGACCGAGCCCGTGGAGGAGGCCGCCCGCGAACCAGCACCAATCCACGCACGCTGATTCGTTGACAGACTGCTGGTTACACCAATCATTTTCAAGTTTCTTCGTGATTGAAATTAAACGTATCCAATCGACAGACGGTTTTTGACTACTTTTAGAGATTGACGTTGGCTCAACCAATGAAATATCAGGATTGGACTCAGCGGGGAGGTTCATATAAAATCAATCTCGAGCAAGAGAGTTAGAGTCCTCAACCAGCAGGCGCACTGATTCATTGACGTTTACTTTGTCCAGTGTGAATTTTAAGAGGCATTTTTTTTACTAAAGCAGAATGACAACTGTGCTGATTGATTTAACTGAAGTCTCGGTTATTTGAATTGTTCCACGTTGTATTGCAAGGAGCGCACTTTTATCAGGGAAAGGATAGAATAAACTAAGATTGCTGCTGTATTTATTCGCATTCACTCACACCATGATGAAATTGAATATTTACAATAGATATCCTAATCTACATTGGGCCAAATGCATGGCGTACCATGCAACAACTGGTTGTCCAAACCCTTTTGGATTCTGGAGATTTCACAAAAGCTTGTGCACTTTGCTCTATGCATTTAGTTTGTAACTGCTAATATGGTGCATTCAAGTCTTGGTTTACAAGTAACAGTGTTTGAGTTTTAGCAGCCATTACACAGTAGGCAACAACCACGGATGACAAAAGAGGCCCTCCTGCTCAGAACTGTAATCCCCCCTCCTGGAGTAAAATACACAACCTATGTTTTTGCAGTCTCATCTCTTTTTCGCTATTTCGGATCTCAGTTAACGTGCATTTTTATTTCATAGTTCAACTTCAGCTTGCATGCCTTACAATCCCTTACAAAGTCACTGTTTGTGTGTGTGTAACCTCATTTGTGGTCATGGCCTTCAGTGTCTTGTTGGTTCTGGTTCTCCCCACGGCTGTTTGACACGGTCTGCTGCAGCTGTATGCTGGGCATTTATATTTTACAGGGGTGGAGACATTACGTTTGCCCCGTTGACTTTATAAGAAGCCGCTGAACCAAATAAGCAAGCTCATCCTCAGTTACACACAATGTGTTTTACAGAATGTAAAGTTTGTACAATTTTAATGGGAACACTGAACTTTTCTCGATACTTACTGAACCTATTTCCTTGATTTCTGTTCAGATTTAGTTCAAACTTGTGAACACAAGCAGATCATTTTTTAAAAGGGTGGTTATTCACTTTTTAATAATTGTCTTCTTTGAAAAAATGTCCACTGAATCTTTGACTGGAAAGTATTCAGTGATGTGAGTCAACTTGCTGATTAAAACTGATATGTGTTTGTCAGTGGGGTTCTCTTGTTTCAAAGTTGCTTAACAAATGAACTACTCGAAAATAAATTCTCCAGGCTGGTTAAACTGGAATTCCTTTTTTAATGAAGGCACTTCCTCTTCACCTCCGGAGGAATGTACGTAGCAGTGGAGGATGCGATGTGAATACTGTACCAGGCACCGCTGGAGAGACACAGATAGAGTGGCCTAATTTTAGTGGGATCTTTTCCAGCAAGCTTTGCAAGTGAGCCAAGTGGCTGGCCTGTCTTCTGCCTTAGCCGTTTCAAAGAGACAAGCCAACATTAAAACTGAAGCAGGCTGTTTGCAAAAAAAAATGTGTCACCAGACATTGGAAGGGATCTTCAGGCTAAACTTACATAAAGGACAGAATAAGCGGACTCCTGTAAGGAAACACAACAGTGCATAATACAAGTTCCTTGCTTCTCAGAAAGCCATAAACGGAATATTGTCTCACGGCCAAAAGCAGCATTTAAAAGTTGCCACTTGAACGAGACCATGTGGGAAACCCTGGAAATAAAAAAGAAAGAATGAACGTATTTAAGAAACCATACTGAACTGGGAAAATGAATTCCAGTGAGATGACCCTTGACACATATCCAGTGATAAAAAAAAAAAAACTCCAAGAATTAAAGAAAAAAAAATCTGTTTAGATAGCTGAAATTGGCTTACATGAATGGTGGGAAACATTTGTGAGTGAACCACTTGTTGACCTGGAAAATTACACCAGAAAACTCGGGAGAACAGAGATGAATGTAGATTAATACAATTATGCAGATTTCAGTCATGCAGATTTAAGTCTTAAAAGTAATTTATCAATGGCTTGCTGAATTCAGTAAATGACTTAATAATTCAGACTTTAAAAGAGAACAACTGCTGCCGTCCTCATTTTAACACTTGGTTGGAATAAAAATGTTCTTTCCTTGTTTGAGAAGAAATCCAGTGGGACTTGAGTAATTTTGCCTTTCATTTTTTTCATCTGCATGAAGGGATGAAGAGTTCAAATTCATCAGAAATAAGTTGTTATTCCCTAATCTTTAAGGTTTGAAATGGTAGGAATAGAGTTGTCATGGAGATAGCTGACTAGTGTGTGCTTCAAGAATAACAACACAAGGTTAAATACAACGATACACAGTTCATTGCTCTCTGAATTTATCTTCTACGTTTTCTTTTCTATGTATCTGTTCTCTGATCGAATGCTTCTATCAAAATTATTGAAGTGAAAATACTCTTTTGGATGGAAATATTTCTTTTACTTGCTTCTGTATAGCTCTTAGAATAAAAGTGGTCACATCGAAAGAAATGTACCATTCACCACCAAAGTTTATTTTGCCTTTTTTCTTCTTTTCGAAACTGAAAACAGTGAGTCAGAGGCCAAGCCAGCATCAGGGCAATCAGAAGGACAAAACACACCTGTCCATTCCAAGAAAAGAAAGCAGAAAGCTCGGGAGCAGCTGTGAAAGATATACACAGAAAGGCAGGGCGAGGTGTGACAGAAATGAGGCATCGGTAGTAGAATGAACCTTTAAAAAAAACCTAATAGCAATTTCAGACAAGCTTTTCAATATTGTTGTCTCACTGGCAAAAAGAGAAACCAACCTAAACATATTAAATACTTTCAGAATCCCCCGTTTTTATTGTGATTTGGATTTCTGTGGAGTTCTTTCTTTGGCGTGATCACAAGTAAATGTCAAGTAGGGGCAGGAAACAGATCAGAGTGAGATATGTCAACAATAACCAGTAGATCTTAATGGAGCCTTAACGTAATCGAGATAATGATGAGTGGATAGTGTTTTCCGGGAGTTTAAAGGATACAGCTGAAATGTATTTAGAGGCATCTTGGAGGAAAAAAAAAAAAGTTATGAACATAAACCACCCAATTCCATAATATATTTGAGACTGAATATACTGAGTGAACTCTGATAAGAGAGTTTTCTATTGTGGAGAGAAACTCTGAAAAGGAACTTTTGAAAGTTTCCATCAATTTGCAAATTTAAAACAGCATCAAAGTCAGTTTGAATGGCATTAAAAGGGCAGATATGTAAAGATGAGCATGGCGGGATTAATCCACCTGGGTTTCCCCCCCTGAACACCCAAGCTGACCGCCCTAGAACTTACATAGTGACCAAATGAGTTTGTGGATTTTCACATTTTAATAACTAGTGTGAATAGCTCCTTTTATGCCAAATGAATGCCAAAAAATGAATAATAACCCCAGTAAATTAAAGTTCCTCTAAACTGTCTTTGATTAAGAGCTGTTAATGGTTGAATTGTCATTTATGATGATTTCTGATTTCTCTGAGGACATTTTCAAAGACTTTACTATCTTAAATATGATGTATTCAGTCAGTTATTAAATAAAATAAAGGTTTCATATCCTGGTAACAAAATAATTGTTCTTTGCAGCCTTCCCGGTGTCTTCTTCCCTTGTTAAAGTAATACAAACTCGTCCTTATGTGTATGAAGAACTGCACAAAATATGGGTGATATACTTCAATGCTCCAAGATTTCTATAAATCTATGATTTATCAAATGACATACACAAAATAGACGGCAAGTAACCAGCCTTGCTCAAGAGACTGGATACATAATGAGTCTGATGCCTTAAAAATTGGACTTAGGAGTTTCTTTCATCAAACTGCATCACACCATGTTACACAAATGTCAGCAAAAGAGAGAATCGCCATTGTTTTATTCACAGAAAAATAAAAACCAGACTCAGCCAATTCAGAGGTTCAAGTTTGGGCTTCAGTTTTTTCTCTGGAGGGTCCTCTTCTGAGCCACCTCGCTCCTGTGGACATCTTTCAATCGCCCCTTTCATTTTGATAGAACCGAAGGGGAGGACAATGCAATGTTAAGAAACGAACAATTGTACAAACCGATCAGTGCATTGTGTTTTTTAAAAGTACAGCAGGTTTCGGGAACGAGGTCGAATCGACGATTCCGACGCTCCCAGTCTCTGCAAATATGTTCCCGGATGATAGCGTCTCTGCAGTCTATCTTCGGACGTTACTGAATCCATGTCCCCCGCGTTGATATTTTTCCCCCCGTTTTTCCAACTGTGAATAGTCAGCCTTCCTTTAATTAATCCAAATCAGCACAGAGTAAGAGTCCATCCCAGTCCAACTGGATGGCTCCTCCAAACGACACTGACTGGCCGGTGCCGGACCACAAGCTGACCAGTACAGACCTGTCCTCTTGCAAGCAACCTGGACAGAGAACCGGGGTTCACTTTAGTTCAACTTTACAGCCAGTGTTTTTCAACCTTTTTTGAGCCAAGGTACATTTTTTCATAGAAAAAATCACAAGGCACACCACCAACCAAAAACAAATCTATAGTAACACTATACTTATTCTTATTTTATTCTTATCTTATCTTAATTGTCTTGAATAGGAATCAAATAAACACAAAAAATTTATTTTTTATCATATTTTATATTTCTTCTTTCAAATTGCGCTTAACATGTCCACTTCAATATACAAAATTATATACAAAATCTAGTCATAAGGAATTATTACATGATTACTCCACCAGTCACTAGTACAGCACAGGCACTCAAAAATGGCATATTATGTGCAGATAATTAATTCGTTATCAAAAAATCTTTTTAGACTAATTAGGTGAAATAGGATGATTTTCTACGGCACACCTGACCATCACTCGCGGCCCACTAGTGTGCCGAGGCACAGTGGTTGAAAAACACTGCTCTACACGTCCAACAAAAGTCATGTTACTGTGCTTTACTGAGAAAGTAAACAAGTTCAAATTCAAACCAGCTGTAAACAAAACAAGTGGACTTAGCTATTTTGGTGCGTTCGCAGACGATACGTTCGATAGGAATTCATATAAAAGATTCAGAGGACTGGCCTTAAGTCACGCAGAGCGGAACCTAGTGTTAAATAAACCGCTGGAACTCACTTGAGCTTAGGAGATCTTCGCTGCTACGTCTGCGACTCGGCTTCCTGGTCTGCTCCCACCACCTTCTGGATGCTCTTGATTGAAAGGTACATCTCCTCCTCGGGGTCGTAGTAATAAAATTTACTCAGGTAGGAGATCAAAGATCTGGAAAAGGAGGGAAAAAAAGAGAAACGACGATGGCAAAGATTTCCATCAATTCAAAATACAAACTTTATAAAACACGACTTTGCTCGATCTGTAAAGCACTGAGAAACCAGCAGATTTTCTGCTGAAATCAGCGAAATTGTGATACCACAGACCATCACTTTCATTGTTCTTTGGGGCAAAAGTGAATGGACAGTGATTTAATTGGTTGGAATTGATGGATAAATCTCTCTTGGAACAACCAGATGCATGGTGGAAAGGAACACTTATCAGAATTTCCCTGAATTTCCCTGAAGTAATCCCAAGGGGAAAATAAAGTTGAGTCTAAGTCTAAGTCCTTATGCTATTGCTCGCATAATGTCAACATATCTCATGAAAAAAAAGGTCAAAGGTAGATAGAATTTCAGGAGATTAACTACAATTTTGGAAGTGTCATTGGTAATCCAGACAATGAGATTTGACAGCTCTAGGAGCAGGCTCCCGAGTTGAGATTACCTTGAATATAAACATCTAGAAGCTCTCTAGAAGCTCTCTAGAAGCTCTCTGTACCTCTATCTTTTCTAAGTTTTTCTCTAACTGAAAGTCTTATGTTCAACTTCATGATGTAGCCAAAGCTTTTTGCTATTAGCGAGTGGTTAGTTGATACCTTATAGAATTCGTACGTGGTTATAAATGATAGT